TTTAAAACTTGCAGGATGTAAATAATGCACTATGAACTAAATCTACCCAAATTTTCATTAAATTCTACGCAACGGTTAAAAAGTTAGAGCAATTTCATAGTGTGGCAATTTCATCGTGGACACCCTTTAAATACGAAGAACAATACCGGCATAGTTTCCGGGGGTTGTCAATTAATTGAGCATTTTTTTGTGAAATTAATCAGTGGTAGAGTGCTTGAATTGATTTTGAATTTTCAGATATACTCCATATTGCTTTCAAGCCCTGAGGACCTTCCGGGAATGTTCAATGAATCTTTTGTAAGTCCAGTATGTCTCAAGAGTTCATTTTGTTGATATATATTCGCACACCTTGGGCTGGCTGATATGCCAATTTCAATGATTCCGAAAGACAAATTCATAGGACCTCCAAAAGGAGTGGTATTTTCAGAGAATTCCGAGACAAATCTAAAAGGAATCAGGATACTTACTCAGTGGGACCGGTCCAGAGGTCGTGAATGGTAATTGCAGAGACGTGAAAGCCCAAGTCAGTGCTATCAAATTTTATGACCGACTGTTGTTCATGAACTACAGTGAACTCTCTGCAACTCGATATTGAATGAACCATAGAGTTGTAGAAGTATCGAGTTATAGTCTAAAAATTGTAGGGAATAATGTTTTATTGGGGAAAATACACCAGGAACATGTTCTTAGTAATTTCAAGTAAAAATTTAAAACAAATAAAAAATTATACATGCATATCTCCATATAACGTAACTGTTACTTTTGACCGTCATCGTCGATATCTCTCAAATAACAATTCAATCGTATATATGAACATTACCAATAGATGGAGGTTTGTCTCGACTTTCCGATGCAATCATTACTTTGCTTGATTGAATTATCGTTTGCGAGAAATCGGCGATAGAAGTCAAAAGTGACAGTTACGTTATAATATCGAATTTATTGGTCCTATTTAAAGAAATAAATCTTTTGGGATGTTTGAAATTGTGGACACTTAAATATTGACAAAAATCGTAGAACACATTTTGGTAATATTTTTGAAGGCTTTGAAAACGAAAACGTTTTTTCGCTCAAAAACAATGTTTGTTGAGACATTTCAATTATTGCAAAAATACCCAAAAAAACGACGTATCAAAAATTCATAAATTTACCAAAAGTTCTTGTTCTATGATTTTTGTCAGTTTGTGTCAATGGTTTTGAACACTCCAACATTTTGAATTTCGCGAAAGTTTTTTTAATCAAAAATAGGGTAAGATCTTTCTAACAGTGTCCAATGAAATTCAAATGCTTCTAATGAAAAACAAACGGAATTTCATACAAAATAGAGAGCATTTTTAACAGGCATTTGACCAAAGTTATGAAAAAATCGGTCATTGCCATTATACATTTGGATTGTATTTTTGAAAAATGCGTGAAATTAGGAAATTAGGTTAATGGAACTATGGTAATTTATGGTAGAAACATGCGGAAAAACCTGGAAACTCATGGAATTTTATTAAGAAAAATGAGTTGGCAATAAGCTATAATAATTATCAACAATATAAAAAATCGTCGGGTATCTGGAATTCTTTTCCATTGTTTTTTTTTCCTACGGTATAGGGGAAATGGCTCTCATGTTGGCCTGTGGATCTAAGATTGGGCCCATCGCTAAAAATCTGCTATTTATCAATTTTATCTAGATGAACGCGTCATTGGATATGGATATTTCGGTCGCTATTGAAAATTTAGTCGATTGCTGAATTTTTGTATGGGCCCCAATTAGGGGCATTTAGGCCGACATTACATCCATTTCCCCTAATACTGTATTTTGATTATCACTTTGGAACTTATAAATTGAGCTTGATAACTTCAAAAGTCCTATGCAGTTCTTTTTGTAGAATCATTTTCCTAATGTATTGTTGTTAGAAGTATCCCAAATAAATCGAAGACCATAGCCCAATATATTATTTTAAAATGCAATTGATAACAGAATTTAAAGATTAAAAAGACAAATTTATTAAAACATAAATTTATTAAAGCTGAATCCAAAATATATCAAATTTCCATAAACTGCTAGCTTGAAAATAATCGAAGAATATTAACAAACCTCCAAAGACAAGACTAAGAGATCTTAAAACAAATGGTTCATTCAGATACTTGTTGACATTTCTCAAGTTAAAATGTATTGAAAACTTTCTTCTTTCAAAATTTTAAGATTGTTTGTCAGTCTGTCAAATGTCAAATGATCCAAAATATCGTCAGGGATCTTGCGAATTAAAGTTCAAGAATTTATGAATTCCTGGGATCTTTCATAAACAATTCCGATCACTTGATATTTGACTCATCATATCTTATTTTTTACCAGTTTAAAACAATTTACAAGCTTAACGGTTAAACCCGAAAAAACGCGGACACATTAAAAGTGTTGCCATGAAGGCATTTTTTGAGTTATTTTTTTCAAAATTTCTTAATCAAGCTAAAAGCGTATGGAATCACAGTAGGCATTGATTGTCAGGATAAGGTCATTTGTTTACATCATGGCGCTCAAAACGAAAATCCCGGTCTATTCAGGAATTTCCTACCTCGGTTGACCGGAAGAGTGACCCGGAAGAATTAAAACAAAAAGAAATTGAAATTCCGCAAAAAGTTCCTTGCCTGGCAAGCAATCTCCCGTTGTGGTCAGAAAAGCTAAACTGGGACCATGAACTAGCAAATGTACCAGAAGGAGTGCCTACGGAAATAAATACTGCCTTTTCTAGAGCAGCATGAGGTGGATTGCCTATTCTGGCCGGATCTTGCAAGCTGCCACTACTCAAATTCAGTGGTACAGCGAAAATGGTGTCACAGTGGTTCTCCGGAACTAAGGCCAATTGAGGAATACTATGCGACTAAAAATATCCATTAGTACCGTCCCAATGACGCGTTCATCTAGATAAAATTGATAAATAGTAGATTTTTAGCGATGAGCCCAACCTTAGATCCATACACACTAAGATTTTTTTACAGGAGTCAGTATTTTTTTACTGGGTTTTTTAATTGCTGAAAAAGTCGGTAAAAATTCAAATGACCGTTATCCGTAAGGAATCAATGAAATCGATCAATTTTATTTTCTATCATTAAATGGGGTTAACAGAACTAAGTATGTACAAGTTCAGAACAAATTTTCTCATTAATAAATTTTCCACAGATTTTTAAACTTTTACCGAACAGTTCCGCAATTCAAAAACTCGGTAAAACCGTACTGACTCGATTAGTGTGTAGGCCAACATTAGATCCATTTTCCCTATATAGTCACTTTAACGCTTTTGTGTCATTCGTGACTTGTCCGGGGATGAGATTTGAACTCGTGACTTTGGCGTTAGAGGTATGGATGCTAACCCACTACGCCGGGGTCGCCCCCTGAATGTGTTCTGATTTCCCAGGAAGTTTTTCTTGACTTTTCCGGAAATTTCTTCTGGCTCCTTTGGAAAATAGTTCTAACTTCTCCTTGAACATTTTTACGATTTTTAATAGAAAATCTTTAGACTTCCTCTGGAAGTTTCTTCAAACTATCTCCTTAGAAGTTTCTTCTTGTGATTCCACTGGAAAATGTCTTGTGATTTTCACCCAAAAATCCTTCTAAAATTGTTTCCTGGGAAATTTGACCGTGAGCGGTTTTACCGATCGAAAAGGACATGGAAAAATAAAACGTGATTTTCAGTAAATTTGTCGGTAATGTTTTCCTGGGATGTCACAAGTAGGTAACACTAATTGTGAGGTCAACACGTGTTCGGGAATAAAAATTTGCAGTTTTTGAGTTTAGAACAGCACAGATTTCTCATTAAAATTGAAAATTCCAACTATTCTGATTGCATCTCCAAATATTTCGTTAAGTCGCTAAGACAGTACTAGCTTTTTTAATTCGGGCACCCATATCGATTAGAGTACAAAGTTTTCTGAATTTACTCCAAATTCGCTCTGGATCTACCTGCAAATTTCCTTGAACACGGTCACGGTACTCTGAATATCAAAAATAACCACCACGACGTGACATGGAAAGCACGTAATTTTTTTTTTCAATTAAATTGAAGCTCCTGAATCTAGATATTTCACGGAAAATGGATTGCAAATCCCACTGTTCCTATCATATTTTTTTGAAACCCGAAGCGCATTTCCCGCCATATCATATAGCAGCCCCCGTAAGCTCGTAAATTTGAAAGAGAAAGCACAACATTGTGACATTAAGAGACAACAGGCACTCAACGATTTTCCGGTGGGAAAATGTTGATAACACCACACATATTGGATGATCCGCTCGTTCTGAGTGGATTCCATTGTTTATCATGTCTGTTTGGAAATTTTCACACCTTTCCACCACCGGCCCACAGCGGTCCAGGGGGGGGGGGGGGGGAAGCACTCGCCACCATCTCGGCAGCACTACCGCTGGAGGCAAGTAACTGAAACATAAAATATTGATGCAGGGTGATAAATTTAGATTTTTCATTTTCGGAGCACATGAATCTTTCGTATTTTTTTTTCACGTGGAAAAGCTGACGAGGTGGTTTATCTTCGCGTGTCGGTGGAAAAACTCGCAAGAATGGTTAATGTTCCAAATTTTCCTGGTGAAGAGCCGACGAATTAGGATTATTAATAATGCCCTTAATGCACGTAAGCCCGTTTTTCGGAGAATGCTAATCCGGTTCATAAATCCGCGCGGGAGTTGACTCTATGGGAGGGGAGTTGGTGAGCGGAACCGGCAGCTGTCGGATGAACATGCTGTTTATAAATAAAATAACACACATTTACAATTTTTATTTCAATTCACACGCTATCGCATTTGTGTGTAAATAAATGAACTTTTTTTTTAATGCCCACAATATTCTCGGATTTCAACTCAGGTTTCCGTTTTCCCCGGAAGAAAAATTTCGATTTACTGTGGCGGTATTCTTCATCTCGCTTCGAAGGAGCAAGACGCGTTACTGCTCTCGAGCTAACGAGGTATTAATTGTATTGTTTTTTTTTCCTTCCTTGTATACTTTCAGAACAACAACAACAACATCAACGTCACAGATGAGCCTCGGCGAAAGCGCGAGGTAGCAACCCGGCCCAACCATATCCTGCTGTTCACCATCATCAATCCAGTCTATCCTATTACAGTGGTGAGTAGTAATTCGTGGAATTCTCCTTTTTTTTTTCTTTGGTCCGGGTTGAGATTTCTCCAGTAAGGATGAGCTGACAGACATTACAACCTCCTCGTGGGAGACGGCAACGGTGACGATTGTGCCTCGCGTTTGATTTTCAGAGGGGAAAGTCGTCGTCGTCGTCTGTGGAAACGGTTATTGGATTGAGCCAGTTTTATCCCACGCGAATTACGAATAGGGCTGTCGATTGTTGTGCGTTCAGAGATTTCGAAATGACGGGAGGGACCGAGTTCACTCGGTTGGAAAGTGGGGTGTGGGAGATAATGGTGGATTGAAGAATCATAACTGTTGGAATTTACTCAGATGGCTAAATTTAGCTCAGGTAGATGCTCAAGTTAGTTCGCTTGAATTTCAGTTTGTATGATAAGGATCCCAGATCAGTTACAGCGTCCGGAATTCCTTTTGGGTGAGTTTTAAAAAAAATTTAAAACTCCTCAGAGGATTCAATCAGTATCCTCCTTGAGGTCGTTCTTTTAATTATTTTCTGACAGGTTTTTTAAATCAGCATGTGTAGTGAAGTAATGAAATTGGGTTGTTAGCGGAATGCTTTAATAAAACAGCAAAAAAGGTTATCTTCCATTTAATTCCACTTAATTAATTTTGGTATCCATGACAGATACGTATTTCGACTACAATGTGCAGTCTTCATCAGTGTCATTCCCACTGAATGACACTGATGAAGACTGCACATTGTAGTCGAAATACGTATCTGTCATGGATACCAAAATTAATTAAGTGGAATTAAATGGAAGATAACCTTTTTTGCTGTTTTATTACAGCATGTGTAGGTTTTTTGATAGTTGACTCAGGAAAGTTCCATTAATTTAATTTCTTGTAATTTCTTCTTCTTTCTTCTCTAATCCAGCTCTTGAAAAAACTTTACGGAGCCGAAAGTCTTTAAAACAATTCTACAATTAATTAAAAAACAATTCCAGACAGTGTCGGATGGGACTCTTTAAGAGTTCTTCTGATGTTTTGTGGGTGGCGAATTACCGAAAAAGTTTCTTATTAGTGTCCGATTGCGTTTGCGTGGGAAAGAGCTTAGAAAGTTTTTGTTTAAATATGCTGATGGGCCCTTTTCTATTGTTCCTCCAGAATTGTTTGTTATGGTAAATCATTCACATTTGAGATAAAACAAACCCAAATGACGAATTTCATATATTTCAACAAATAATAACTATCAAACGTCATTTCCGATCAAAACGTCCTCTGCAGTCCTGCCATGGTGGTTATTCATGGTTACTCTGGCAGCGATAGCCGATTTTTTTTTAATTCAAACTAACTTGGCGCAAAAATTTTGATCAACATGTGCTTCGTGTATAAAAGCCGTGGTCCAAAATGAATTACCGAAATTATGGATGCCCTTTTATAACTGTGCGCTCATATGAGCAAAATTTAGCAGCATACATCATGATGATAATGGTGATGTAAACATCGATGCGTGTAAACAACTTGCAAGGAATATTACTCACATGCAAGGAATATTGCTCAAAATTTCAACATTTGGCATATTTCATTAAATGTCATATTTAATTAAATAGAAATTTTTACTTCTTGTTCGAACTGTGTGGATTCAATCGGTGCATTTAAATGCCATATTAAAGTATTAAAAATTCATAAAAAAAAATTAGAAAATGCGCCCGTCAGATACAAACATTTTTTCACTTGAAAAACTTCTCCAAAGACAGAACCCTTCTCTAGTCAAGATGCTGGAGGAAATATTCGAAGCAAGCTGTTTCGAATCTCGTTGAGAGGAGCGTGGATTTTCCACTCGCGGCCGGTAACTTAGATGAATCTACAGCTGTTCTTAATAACGCTTTGAAAACGTGTATTAACTAGTTGAGCAAAAGTTTGTTTCTTTGAGGAACTCGAACAGCTGGTACAATTTGGATCTTTTACGTCTTAAACGGAAAAGGGACAAATGGTACAAAAAGTTTTGTAGATCAAATAATGACAATCATTGGAATAGGTACACAATCGCGCGTAATGAGTAGTCACAATCGATAAAGAAAACTCGTTGTGAATATGTTCAAAGGAAGATAGATCAGCATCAAAACAACAGCAAAGAGTTATGGAACATTTTGAAAACCTAGTAAATGCAAACCGCGGTCCATAACTTTTAATGGCACATTAGAACAGTCAGAACACGTAATTTCAGCTAAGTTTAATGATTATTTTGTAGATTTCATTGATTAATCAATCCATTGAATTGGTCGATGAACCTGACGAAATAAAACAGCCAGTTAATAGTAGTTGTAGATTTGAAGTTTTTCACCCAATCACATTAGATGAACTTAGAGTTATTTGTTTTTCATTAGGAAAATCGGCTGGAGTAGATCATGTTAATGCTAGAGTTATTCAAGATTGCTTTCATGTCATTGGCCACATCTTGCTGGACCTTATTAATGAATCATTACAAACTGGACATGTGCCACAAATTTGGAAGGAATCCTTAGTGGTCCCTATTCAAAAAGTTGCTGGAACGATTAAAGCCGAAGAGTTTCGTCCTATCAACATGTTGCACACATTAGAGAAAATTTTAGAACTTGTTGTTAAAGGCCAGCTGTTGGAGTATTTAAATAGTAATAGTTTGTTGATACCAGAACAATCCGGATATCGGTAAGGTCATTCTTGTGAAACCGCGTTGAATTTGGTATTAGACGGATTTCACGCCAACTCATCCAGTGGTTGGCAGCACCCTCTCAGAACCTTATGGAACTTTGTGGGTGTGGAGACTTAGCAATTTTAAGCAACTTTGCGTACTTATTTTTTTCAAAATTTATCTCGCCTAACATTTGATAAGGGTCAAAGTTTTTTGTCGATTTTTTTTTTCAAATCGATGTAGCTTAAAAATGACAAGCCCTACAAAAAAGTGATGTATGGCGAACTTTTAGCAAATAATCTGAAATTTTATAAAAAAATTTAAATAAAATAAAAAATCGGTTTCTACACTCTAAAAAAATATATTTAAAAATTAAAAGTCATTTTCCCAAAAATGCTACCCCTCAGATTTGCTTGATATTTTTTCTCATGAAAGGCAATATAATTACCTAACTTTTCTTCATACATCGCAAAGTGGGCGCTTTTAAGGAAAAAAAGTTGTTCGAACAACAACTTTTTCATGTTAATTTTTTTTTAGCGTGTTTCACTCAAAGTCGAACAACCGCACAACGCGCACAACCTTATTAAAATTCGATTAAACTTTATGGGTATACTTTTCGATAATCTGGGCGAAATCTAGCCTAACATTTGAAAAGGGTACAGAGAAGTTACCTGCAAATCGTCCAATAAGAGTTCAGAACAAAACGTTCTAATGAGGAACAGCCATCTCAGCATGGTTTGCACTTTCCTGTGATGGATTGTATTATAATATATGCATACACTCTATCCAACTTCTATAAAACCACCCTCAAATTGTTCCAAATCAACAGGTAAACTAAGTAAAAATCACTTAGTATGTTTTATTCATGAAAAGATTTCAATTCATGTATTTGTGATTAATTTAATTAGAAAAATAATCATTCATTTATTTTTATGTATTAGGTGTGTCCATTAGTAAGCAATATGCATATATATGTTTATACCTCATCTCTCAAGTGAATACATATAATAGCGCAGGTAACTTAACGATTATTTAAGGCATGCCTAAAATAATCGTTAAGTTACCTGCTATATAGCAGTTATATAACAACGCAGGTAGTCACATGAGAGATATAAGGTATAAACTTAAAGCACCGCAGTCTGTTTCTACCGACATAATCTAATATTTAAGTTTGGTGATATCACAACAATGCTCATAGTTGCTGTAGTGCATAGTTGTTGAAAGTGTAGTGCTGCATAGTTGTTGAAACGAAAAAGTGTTTATATATACAACAATGGAAAAATCTGCTGAATTGATTATTAAAAGGGTGCAATGTAGTGCCAACATAAACAATCCCAATTGCAGCCGCAATAATTTACGTAATTTATCATCAAGTCTCATAGAGAAAATACATTCATGGGGCTTTGATCATCAATTGGATGTAACAATGCGTATTTGTGAATCGTGTCGTGGAATTTTAGTGCACAATAGGACACCTCTCCCGAAAAAGAGGCGATCGGATGGAAAAGAATCAAGCCATGCTCGGAAGTTTGAAGAGCCGCAACCATCAACAAGTCATCAGCAATCAGAACATCAGGAATTTGATGATACACTAGGTAAATAATAATAACTTTAACTGTTTCAACTGTGTGGTTTAAGGATTTTCAACATTTTTTTAGAGCACGAGCTGGATGAACCGCTTATCGTACAAATTTGATCGATTGGTAGGCCAACCTCGGTGAACAATCTATCAAATTTTCACGACTGTACGATATGCGGTTTATGCAGCTCGTGCTCCACAAACATGGGGAAAATTCAGATGCGGCTTCGATGTACCGTAAACGGGGATGTCTTTGATAATGGAGGTAACTTTGATAATGCAGCTAATCCAAAAAGTTATGACTTAATGCTCTTCGTATTCATTATTTTGGAAGGGAACATCGGTTTCCTATCCAAAATATTGCGTACGATGTGCCTTAAGGGGGTATTCCCGATCTTTTTTTTCAAAAAATCAAATTTTTTTTTTCACGTTTTTTTGTACTTTAGACTATATACTTTCATCCCCCCAAGCCGTTTTCCGATCAGCGAATTCGGTGTCCAGGCATAGCTGACTAATGGTAAGAACCCCCAAATGGTTTTAACTAAAGTCAAAACTTTAAACGCGTTTTTCTCGAAACCACATTTTTTTTATCGGGCGAAGATTTTTCTCAGAAACTATAAGAGATATTGACTTGAATCTTTGCGCATTTTGTTCCTTATTAAATTCTTTGGAGCTTCTCCCACTTTCAGCCAAAAATATTAACATTTAACATTGTTTGAAGCACCTTAAAGCTGCAAAAAAGCGGGCTAAAAATCGCCTATTTTTTCATATGGCCGC